AGAGGGAAGGAAAAGCAGACAGTATAAGATGCATTCAAAGATGTGTTGTCCAGCATGCTACTGCTGTAGGCAATGGGAGCTTAATGCCAGCAGAGACCTCTGGGCGATCACATGGGATGCGCACCTCAGAGTCATTTCACCTGAGGGGTGAGGGAGCTGGGGTATGTGTCCACCAAGTCCAGGCTTTCATAGGGGCTGTTCCAGGAAGTATTTTCCCACTGACACTTCTCACCTGTCATGTGCCAGACCAGGTGGACTCTGGTGGCAGCTTCTGGCCATTAGAAGTAACTGAAGGGCCGGCCGAGTGGCGCGATGGTTAAGAACTCGCTTGGGATGCCAGAGGGCCCCGGTTCGGATCCCACATATGAGGGCCAGTGACACTGCCCTCCACAGCTAAGATGCTGAACAACAGCTCAACCTGGAGCTGGGCTGCCATGAGTCGCCGGCGACGGCGTGGGCTGCAGTCCCTGTGGCAGTGGATTGCCATGGGCTACCGTGTGTGGCCAGCAGCCAGCGTGAGCGGCCAGCAGCCAGCGTGAGCGGCCAGCAGCCGCAGTGAGCGGCCGTCCAGAAGCCGGCGACTGATCTGCCTCGCCAGAGAAGAGCGCAATGATGGTGCCAACTTGGGCCAGTGAAGCAACGTCCTCCACAACTAGACTGAAGAACAAAAAAAAGGACAGCAACTTGTCTGTTCCCCTTTCCCCAATTCCCCAGCACTGTTCCCATCCCCCCAATTCCCCAATAAAAATCTTTAAAAAAAAAAGAAGTAACTGAAAACATGAGGATCAAGGAGGGACGCAGGGCATGACTCCATCTGCTACACGCACAAGATTCCATTCTTTTTTTTTTTTTTAAGATTTTTATTGGGGAATTGGGGGGATGGGAACAGTGCTGGGGAATTGGGGAAAGGGGAACAGACAAGTTGCTGTCGTTTTGTTCTTCAATCTAGTTGTGGAGGATGCTGCTTCACTGGCCCAAGTTGGCACCATCATTGCGCTCTTCTCTGGCGAGGCAGATCAGTCGCCGGCTTCTGGACGGCCGCTCACTGCGGCTGCTGGCCGCTCACGCTGGCTGCTGGCCACACACGGTAGCCCATGGCAATCCACTGCCACAGGGACTGCAGCCCATGCCGTCGCCAGCGACTCACGGCAGCCCAGCTCCAGGTTGAGCTGTTGTTCAGCATCTTAGCTGTGGAGGGCAGTGTCACTGGCCCTCATATGTGGGATCCGAACCGGGGCCCTCTGGCATCCCAAGCGAGTTCTTAACCATCGCGCCACTCGGCCGGCCCAAGATTCCATTCTTGACTGAAGACAAAGTCTAAGAATTTCAGCAAGAGTTCATGAACCACCTAAATGTAATGTGTTGTGTTCATAAGCATTTTTTTCTTCCCCATCACTAAGTAATGATAATTCTATTGCTTAAGCTGAAAACCTGGGAGTCATTCTTTGCTCTTCTCTTTCTCTCACATCCCACATCTAATCCGTCAAACAAATCCCATTAGCTGTATCTTCAAAATAGTTCCAGAATTCTTCTTACCTTCACAGTTAGCTCCCTGGTCCCCATCATCTCTCACCTGCATTACGGAGATAGCCTCAGGAGACCCACACAGATTATTACCCTCAGACCCAGAACTCAATTCCTGGTCTCCTATCTTAGCCCAGGATGTCTCTTCCACCAAACCACACTGTTCCTTATTCAGAACTGCTGAATCAAGAGCTACAAGGTCAGGGTCCTCAAATCATTCAAGTTTACAGACAGTCCCTCGAAGGCAGCAAGTGCCACAGAAAGAGGTCAACCATGGGAGTAACAGACTGAGGCCAAATACCAGCTTTGCCACTGAAACACTAAATGACGATAGACAAGCCATGACACCCCTCTGGGCCTCAGTTTTCCCATCTGTAAAATGGAGTTGGTCATTATTGCAATCCCAGAGTCACTGTGAAGATTAAATGAGAGCTCCTGCGTCTATCTGGAACATGATACATGCTTGATCAACCATGGCTTTTGTTATTTTTAGCCACCAAGAATGCCCAACCTCTGCTCCCCTGGACCCAAAGTGGTAAACGGAACCTCTCTAGGGTTTATCTCTCTACCTGAAATTAGACAATTGTGAAACAGGCAAAAGACAGATAGGTTTGGGCCAGCTCCACCCTGGACCTCCCCCCGCCCCCTCCACAGAGCTATGACCACAGACAACTGCTTCCCCATTTCTCAACCCACATATCAGGGGAAACTCAAGTTTCCTCTTCTGAGGTGTGGGAACTTCCCCTGACCCCAGATAAACAGTCACTTGGACCAATGGTCCCCTGGATGGAGGGCTTGTAACAGGACTCCCATCCACTCTTCAGTCTATGGGCTGTGGGCAAGGGCTGGTTTCAGTACTGGTAAGCTGGGAGCAGGTGTGGAGGTGGGGGGAGACCAGTATAGGAGGAAGAGGAAGTGGACAACAGCCTCCTCCACGTCACCTCCTCAGAGTTTCCTTTCCATCAACACTTGCTCTCAGTCAAAACAAGAACAATTCTGCTATTAGTCATGGGCATTTGTTGATCAATAAATAGATCAATTTGGAGAATGTCTACTCACCCCTGGATACAATTCAGGGATTGTCCAAAGGAATTGCCATGTTGAGTTATGCTCAGCTGGAGGTAGTACCAGCTATCTAGAGGATGTTTTCATTGTCACAATGACTGGGAGGGGCACCTCTGCCGTTTAGTGGGTATTACAAACTTAATTGTTTACGTGTTGAAGTTCTAACCCCCAGTACCTCAGAATGTGACTGTATTTGGAGCTAGGGCCTTTAAAGAGGTGATTACGTGTGAAAACATGGATAGGCCTAGAGGGTATTATTCTAAGTGAAATAAGTCAGACAGAGAGAAACAAATACCATATGATCTCACTTAATATGCGGAACCTAAAGAGCAAAAAAAACCCAAAAAACAGAAACAGGCTCACAGATACAGAGAACAAACTGATCGTTACTAGATAGATAAGATGGAGGTTGGGGGATAGGGTGAAAAAGATGAAGGGCTTAAGAAGTACAAATTAGTAGTTACAAAACAGTCATGGGGATGTAAAACGCAGCATAGGGAACATAGTCAATTATATTGTAACAACCATGTATGGTGTCAGATAAGTACAAGACTTATTGGGGGAGATCACTTCATAAATTATATAAATGTCTAACCACTATGCTGTACACCAGAAGCTAATATAAAATAATATTAAATGTCAATTATAATTGAAACTTTAAAAACATTTTTTAAATTTTATTGTTAGTTTCAGGTGTACAAAACAATGCAATAGTTATCCTTTTCACCCTCACAAAGTAACAATCTCCCTCCCCTATCTACTGCCCTCCCACCCCCGATATCATGCTTACCTATTACAATTCCATTAACTCCATTCCCACTCTCTACGCCATGTCCCGTGACTATATGTATACATAATTATAGTTGACATACATTATTATTCAACATCAGTTTCATAAATACAGTGCGGTGGTCAGGCTTCTACACCGACTATGAAGTGGTCTCCCTAACAAGACATGAGTCCATCTGGCCCCCTAAAAAATATTTACAACATTATTGGTTATATTCCCCAGGCTGTCTTGTCTATCCCTGAGGCCATATTGTAGTTACCAGTTTGTATTTTCTCATTCCTTCCCCTTCTCCTTCATCCCCACCCGCTCCCAACTAGCAACCTGAAAACATTTTTTAAGACAAGAAAAAAAAAGAGGTGATTAAGGTAGAAATGAAGTCATTGGGGTGGGTCCTAATCCAATATGACTGGTGTCCTTATAAGATTAGAAAACAAACACACAGAGGGAAAACCATGAGAGGACGCAGAGAGAAGAGAGCCATCTACAAGCCAAGGAGAGAGGTCTCACCAGAAACCAACCACGCTGACACCTTGATTTTGAATTTCCAGCCTCCAGAACTATGAGACAATATATTTCTGTTGTTGAAGCCAGTCTCTGGTACTTTATTATGGTAGCCCCAGCAAACTAATACAGTGGGCAAGAACCCCACAATGAACTGGCATTTTGAGAAGCTCTAACATGGCAAGAGCTAATAACCCAAGAAGATTTACTTGGCAGTAAAGTGAAATACTTCACCAAAGATCTTTATTAACCACAAACATCTCATTTGGGTAGATATCTCCATTACTGTCCTGAGGATCTGACCAAGTCATGTCCTGGCCTGGCCACACTAGGTGGGGAATCTTGCCTTTTAGCTGGTCTGTCTTTCTAGAAGTTCCATGGGCCAAATCTTGGCAGAGGTCCGATTCTGCTGCCTAGCTTGATCAAACCTCATGTGGGATATTGAGAAAATTGCTTCTCAAGAATAATCTTGCCTTACCCACTTCACAGTAGCTGTTGCGTATCTGGTAGGCATTAAGGGAGCCCAGCCCCCATGCATCATGGTTCGGAGAACCCAGAGTGTTTTCATCCCTGGCTCAATCAATGTCAGACCCAGAACCTCCAGGGCCAGCATCATTTCCTAAGAGCCATGATCAAGGACTTGGTGACCAAGGCCCCAGAACTGAGAGACCATTACTAAGACCTGGTGACCCTCCAGCTCCCCATCGGCTATGGACTGAATGTATGTGTCCCCAAAAATTCTTATGTTGAAACCCAACCTCCAATGTGATGGTATTCGGAGGTGGGGCCTTTGGGAGGTGATTAGGTCATAAGGGTAGAGCCCTCCTGAATGGAATTAGTGTCCTTATAAAAGGGACCCCAGAGAGCTCGCTTGTGCCTTCTACCATGTGAGGACACAGCAAAAAAACAGTGACCATGAACCAGGAAGCGGGCCTTCACCAAACACTGAATTTCCCCGCACCTTGATCTTGGACTTCCCAGCTTCCAGAACTTTAAGAAATAAATTTCTGTTGTTTATAAAGCACCCAGTCTATGGTATTCTGTAATAGCAGTCTGAACAGACTAAGACACCATCCAATTGAACCCTAGAAATGGTCTGACACTCAGACCATTTAGGCTGTTACATCTAGGCTGCCGATTCTGCCATAGGTGCATCCAAGACAGGTCATGGAGAGGCAGGGCCTTCCATGGACAGGTAGGTAGTTCTCATCTCCAGGAGCCAAGGGGCACTCAGGTACAGACCCCTACCAGCCTCATTCCTAGGATTTAACAGGAACATTTCCGCTCACAAATCCAATATGTAGGTGTGTTGCAAGAGAGGTCATTCCAGGTGCCACCTTTGTTCATGCTGGCACAGTCCTCATCAAACAAGTTGTTGGGTTCCTTTGGGTCCCAGAAGCTGGATAGAAGAAAAAGTCAGTTGGGGAGGGGTGAACAGGTGGAGCATAGAGAATCTGAGGGGGCAGTGAAACTACTATTCTACATAATACTGTGATGGTAGATACATGGGATCATGCATTTATCAAAACCCATAGAATGTACAAAGCTTGGCATGAGCCCTAATGTAAAGTATAGACTTTAATTAATCATAATATGTCCATATTGGTTCATCAGTTATAGCAAATGCACCACATTAATGCAGGATGTTGATAACAGAGGAAACTGCAGGAGAGTATACTTTGAAGCCAGGTTGGTTGGTACTGCCACTTGCTAGCTGTCTAAACTTGGGCAGGTTGCCTAACTTTTCTGTGCCTCAGTTTCCTCATCTTTAAAATGGAGATGATAATAATACTTTCCTTACAGGATTATTAAGATTAAATCAATGGGTTAATATATGAAGAGTGCAAAAAAAATGAGATCTTGCTCATCCTTTTGGCAAATCAAAATCTTCCTCTTCCTCTTGTCCTATAGCCACTCCACCTTTTCTTTTTCCCCAACCATCAGCCGGAGGACTTGATGTATTTGAATAGTTGTGTTAAAAGGTGGGGATTGTTGCAATGGAGGAAAATTTAAAAGGTACAAGGACCAGAAGCCCTATCAGAAAAAAAGCACCCTGTGCTTCCCCTGTCCAGCCCAGCCTGGGATTCCAGAGAATCTGCTGGCTTGGTCTGGACAATGACACACAGTGAGCAGAGAACCCAAGAACCTGTATACTTGCCTCACAGTGAGCGGCGACCCATCCAGCCATTTCCAGTCCCCTTCGTGGTCCCTGTCAGTCAGGCCCAGCCAGTGCACCCGTGGGGAGTGGTGAGCCTTGGACACAAAATTCTGCAAGTACAAACTTCATTCAGCCATCAATTATTCTACATGACCCTCAGGATGAGGGTCCTCCCTCTGCTCTATCTCACGCACATTTAGGGCTTGCAAATGCCACCCCCAATGTCCCTCCCAGGCTCTGTGGCATCCAGGGCAGGATCGACACCTTCCTTACACTTGAGCATATGTGGTGGGAATAATCATGTTACTTTCTCACATGACCTGTGAACCACTCTGTGCCCCAGTTTCTTCATCTGTAAAATGGGATGATAATACTAGCCACCTCTTCATTGGGTTGTGAGGATTAAATGAATTACTAGCTCAACATGCTCAAAACAGTGTCTGGCACACAGTAAGTAGTGTGACATCTTCATCTTCATATTTAACATTGTAACATTTAAGAAACGTTTTAATAATAATAACTGATGTCTTCATACTTTTGCTCCACCCTGCAGCCCTCATCTACACCCAGGCAGAAAAGGGAGTCATTGTTTCAGAAAAAAAATATGAAGCGGGGGAAAGGAGAGGAATTAAGCTTCCTAGATTTTGTATTTCAAAAGCCCAGGATTTTGGGAGAAAACATAGAACTTGAGCCAAAGAAAAAAGATTAGGAAGAAAATATCATGATTAAAAGCAACTTTCCTCATGACAAACTGATCTATGGTGAGAGAAACTGGATCAGTAGTTGCCTGGGATGCAAGTGGGGAGAAGACGGAGAAAGACCCTGAGGGAACTCCCCAGGGTGATGGAAACATTCTAAACCTTGATTGGGTTGACAGTTACAAGGGTATATACATCTGTCAAAACTCACCGAATGTACATTTATGATCTGTGCATTTTAATGTATGTAAATCATACCTCACTCACCCAATCTTGTTGTAAGACTAAGATACTCTAAAAGGTGGAGAGGAGAGATTACAAAGGGAAGGAAGATGTAGATGTGATGGGTGCCAGAGAGAGGAGCTCTACTCATCCACAGTGAGCCCAAAGAGGTGGCCAAAACTCCAGATGGGTTTGGGGACTCTAAAAATTAGAGGGGACCTGGACCCTGGTTCCAGGGTAAAGACCCAGAGAGGTGTCAGGAAATCAGAAAGATAAAAGGGCTGCCTGGGGCTGGCCGAGTGGCACGATGGTTAAGAACTGGCTTCGGATGCCAGAGGGCCCCGGTTCGGATCCCACATATGAGGGCCAATGACACTGCCCTCCACAGCTAAGATGCTGAACAACAGCTCAACCTGGAGCTGGGCTGCTGAG